TAAGGTAATTTTTCCCATGAGAGGTTAGCCTTTTACTCTTAATAGGCTGTCATCCTATTAAGTAATTTTAATTCCTGTATCAATACCCAGTCCATAAACAGTAGCATCTGTGTCTAATTGAAAATGAGGTTTGCAGCCCTGGTCAGTTAACAGAGGAAAAGTCAAAAGAACCATTTAATCTCTGAATAGTGGATCACGCAATGACCAGTGAAATAACATTGTTTTCCTTCCCCTTTTATGCAAATGTTATGTAATATTCCAAAACACAGGAAAAAACCTTCCCTGGTAGGATTAAAGTCCCTCAAAACTGCACATCTGGAAGTCTCTGGGGAGCTCTCTGGTGTCCAAGGATCCTAGAGTAGAATTTCCCTCCCAGTTGTTATATGTGCTGGACCTAAATTCATTCTTTTTAACACAATCCCCATTACTTTGGGTGCAGTTTCAGGCCAGCAGCTTTGGGTTGACCCCAACCTATTTGTAAATATATCTTATTTTGTTCAAAGGTACTGACACATGCCCAGGGTGCTATGTAGGTGCAGTGAGCAAGGCAGGAGTAGTCCTGGACCAAAGCCTCGAGCAATTAGCACTGCCCTAAATGCAGCTGCCCACTACGACAATCAAAGGCTACCACACTGAATGCTTGCAGTAAAAGCATTTTCTCTCATTTTTAGGGCCAATTTTTATTGCCAATCTTCACTTAGCACTCAATTTGAAAATCAGATTAAATTTTTACTGAGTCTTGGGAATTATCTATTCATGGAAACTCAGAGAAAAGCCTTTTAAAGTGTTCAAGGTAGTTTCTACACAGGAACCAAATCTGCCATTTTTTTTTTTTTTTTTTTAAACAAGAATTATGGTTGACACACAGGAACAGCTGAAGGCTCAGTTATGCCCTTCTGATATGTTTTTTCCATGTCCTTTGTGGCCTCTTCTTTCTTTGCTCGATGGCAAAAACAGATGAGATGGGTGTTTGATGTGCTGTTGCTCCCTCTGAGGGCCTGGAGCTGGCTTGGAACACTGCAGCCTTGATCTTTGCTGAATCAAGCAGAAAATCATGACACTCAACCAAAAAGTCTTTTGGGCCATTTTGCAACCGCCTGTTTAAAGCAACAGTACTGTATCAGAACAAATCTAACAGAAACTTCCAACTCCAACACTTTAGTATTTCTCCTATACAATTGTGCTTTTTCTCCAGTGGGTTTGCATTTTTATGTTTTACATGCCTCCCTTTGTTTCCTTTCTGTTGTTCACTACACTTTAGCCACATTAGCAGGCATATAAAAAAAACTCCCCAGAGCTACAAAAAATATAACATCCTACTTTAAACTTTGTCTAAAAGATGATTTCAGCCAAAGTTTTCTTCCTCTGGAAAATTATCATCATACTGAACTGCTTTTGGCATTGCAGGACAATTTGTTCAGCGTTGCAAATGACTTACTCCACAGAACTTACTTATTTACTTACAGTATGTACTGAACAGTTCCTCTGAGAATTTGGCACAGGCTGTATTTATAAGGTACCACCTGTCAGCTAACAGTCACCATTATTCACCCAAATTGCACAAGCAGACAGACTCACTTAGTCTGTTTAGCTGGGCTGGCCTAAGGGTTGTCATGTGGAAAGTTGTGTCTACTTTGGTCAAATAGAGGCTGAGGAGGGTCCTGGCTTTTCCATTTTGAGTATGGTGCCCCTTGTTTCTGGCTAATTGTGTAACAGCCTTAATTTTCTTCTGTCAGCATTTAGTCAAGCTATTCCTTTGCATTACTGAAAATTTGCTTTGTCTTGTAAGCCAACTGTGTTACTTTTAAGGATGGCTTGAAGGATGAGACAGGCTCTAGTGCCAGCCTCAGAGCTGTGCTAACAGAGCTCATGGCAGGCAGTTCTCAGCCTCCTTAGGAGTGCTTGCTTCTCATCCTAGAACACTACTGTGAGAAATCAGAGGTTTATGGGGAAATTCCACTACTTTTCTATGAGCCAGTAACTTCTCCACTGGCCTCGATCCAGGGAAATACATATATATATATATATATATGTTTATATTCATCTCCTGATAATTTATCTGCTTCAGTGGTGTATGTGCACTCTACAGATTTCCACAGTGCCCTGCAATTGAGGTGAGGACTCTGGTTTCTCCCTCTCTCTGACTCCTGTCTGTCCTATAGCCACTACAGGCATTAAAACAAAGACTCAAGGCTTCCTCAAAGCTCAGGAGAATGCCACGTCCTTCTGGTGGCCAAAGTGTGCAGTGCTGCCCAAATTGTACATTCTGACCCCCATCCTTTTTGGATTCTGACCCCCATCCAGCCATCCCCTACCCAGGGGACAGCATTTGCAGGAGAAGCTCATTATTCCCTTCATGCCTAACCCAAAGGTGCAGCAGGAGAGGAAACACTGGAGGCCTTTGCCCAGGCTGTAGGAGAGTGGTTCCTCAGATGCTGGACTCATCATCTCACCAAAGGTCAAACACTGCAGTCACTGGAGTGCCAGGAAAGGAAAGGAAGACTCTACTCATGTTTCTCTCTAAATACTAGATCCACACTTCCCTTACCTCTGAATTTCCTTGTGGTGATGGGTTTATTTGACTGAATTGTGTGCTTCTCTGATTTAATTGTTATGTTATTAGGGTGAGTAAAATAAAGCTGCAGCTTTTCTTTCGCTGTATTAGTGCAGTTTAATTACATTTGGGAAAGGCAAAAAGGAGAGTGGGAGCTTGCCAACATTAATGCTGTCTGTCATTCACAGCCCATTGATGACAAGGAGTTGAAAGCTTGGCAGTTACTCTGGTAATCAGCAACCTGGCTGATGACGAATGGAAAAGATTATGTGAAATTTCCTGAAAGGGGGGTGAAAAAAAAGAGTTCTCCAAAGAAATAAAATACAAAATGAGAACAAAGGGCAAAAAACCCCAAACCCCAACTTCTAAATCCAACACTAAATCCTTTTTATAATGTTTACATGAAAGACCCTACATGAAGCAGACATAATAAATGACGATTTTCCAGTAGTAAACTGTGTTTATTGCCTATAAAAGGAATATGTTTCTAAAATAGGAGCACAAATATGTCCACTTATTGTTGAAATGGACTTTTTCCCCTCAGCTGAAGAATACATATCACTGATAAAACCCAACCAACCAAACAAAAAACCTTTTGTTGCTGTAGATGGTCTCCCAGTAATATTTTTTAATTTATAACACTGAACAGCAGCTCATCTTTTAGAGCTGTTCCAAATATATAATTCTACAGCTTTCAAAATGCAAATACTTTGTTTTCTTTTTTATTCTCTCTACTTTATTTTCTATGTTTAATACAGGAGGATGCAGATATTTCATCTTACTATTAGGAACATAAGCAACTGCTATTCAGGTTTTAGAGTTATTTGCAGTATCTCAGCCTCTGACACAATAGTAAAGTTCAAGAAAAACTCATGTTAAATGAGACTTGGAATTGCATCAGTGTTTAAGGAGAAATTCTACAGGAGAAATTCTACATTCTACATGGTTTTGCTGTGACCTGTAAAATACATTACTTGTGACATTTCTCATTTGTCTTAATTAAAAGCTGAATATAATTCCAAAGCCTTTTTTTTTTCCTTTTTTTTTGCAGCTTTGGGAAGAAACAATGATGACTTGTTTGAGGTTTGGTCCTGTCATTTTTCTGCAGCTGCTGGATATACCTACTCATTTTCACAAGTCACAGAATTGCAGTTTGTTATTCAAGATTTCAACTTTTCATTTTGCTCACAATGGGCAAATGAAAAGGTCCTCTGGTATCTATAGTATTATTAGACCATATTTTTAAGAACAAGAAAAACCCATACAATTGGACAATGTGCAATTGTTTGCTGGGCATGCAAGCAATTGTGAGACTTTTGTCCCTTCTGTTTTGCCAAGCACAGCACAGGACAAGAAAGAAACAAATGGCTTTTAATCACGACGTTAAGCAACTCGGGCAATTTAAAGTTTACCAGCAGGCAGTGTTGACTGTTCGGGGCTGTGAATAGGGAATTTCTCTTTCACACTGCTGAACAGATACATCACTATGTGTCTCCAGGCTTTTTCCCCACAGGCAGAGTACCACAGCTCCGTATTTTATGAGGAGTTGCAGGGAACACCTAACCACAGCTGAAAGGAGATCGCTAAGGTTTACTGGAAAATGACACGAGGCTGATTTGATAGGTAAGTTTAGTGTTGAGAACTTGCTGTTTGTTTATAAGCTTAAAAATATCACACAGGTTAGAGACCTCCCCCCCACTATAGAAACGATGATATTAGTCATTCATCAGACCCACGTTCAAATTTCTGTGGAAAAAATGTAAAATTTAGCAAAAAAATCCCCAAACCCTGCTAACTTTTATTTTTGTGTGTGTGTAAGTTAGCAGTGTGAAGTTCCACTGCCTGAGGAACACGTCTTTCCATCCTGGACAATAAATTATTCTCTCCATGTGATAACCATGCCCAGGCACATGTTCCTCTGTATTTGTCCAGGTTTCTTGGACACACAGCCATGCCTTAGAGCTCAGGTCCACCACATATCCTCACCTGGCAAAGACCACCCAGGCTGTATAGATCAGCTGTTCCTTGCACACGTGCATTCCGTCTGATGCCTCAGGAAAGCACCTTTGGAGTGGGAGTCAGGCTGGGGAAGTGCAGGCTGGAGGGCCCAGGCACAGACGAGCTCGGCAGGGCACGTGCAGGAAGTCTGACATGTCACAGAAGTGCAGGGGATGGGGAAGGAAAAGCCTGGGAGAGGATGGATGGCACATTTCAGAGCCATAGGCTGTCACTCATCAGTGGGCTACTGCTCCTCTTCTGCTGTGACACTGTACTGACAGAAGTCTGCACTATCTGTAAAAAATCAAACTGCTCAAGAAACAAAAAAATCCTAAACTAGGCTGTATTTGTTTAACAGGTGGTTTCGAAGCACAGGTTTAATTTAAAAGACACATAAATAATTGCCAACCAAGAAGCCAAATCAAGCACAAAAATTCAGCTGAAATAATGCACTGTTATATAGGTTTATATTTATTATCCATTTCTGCCTTCCCCAGTGGTTGTCTGAACTCCATTTGCCCAACTGCCCTTCACTTTAGATAAGGGGATCATTTCCTCCCCTATCAGTTGAAATTAATTCTTGTCTGTTGCTGCCCAAGTGCTCACATAGAGCATTTTCTGTCTTGAAACTAATCATTTAAAATTGAGATGTATAAGCCTTTCCACCTTGAAGTAACAATCTGTGCAATCAAAGGTAACTATTAGGAGTCCCTTTCTTCATTATGCCAGAATTTCATGAAAATCCCTACAAATACTGTCTTTGCTGGACAATATTATTCCTTAATATCTTCCCCAAAAATTCATTATTAAAAAAAATTAAAATAATCAAGTAACATTTTGTCGAAATTTTGTCAGCACCTCTTCAATTGACACAAAGAGATGTTTGCTGTTCCTGAGCTTTGGAAGGTGATGCCACCAGCCTGACCAAAGGCCTTGGCTAAGCAGATGGAACAGGATGTGACTGATGCAGGAAAGCAATTTTTGAGAGCCCCAGTCTCTTCTGCAGTCAGGGTGAATATCTTCTTTGTTTCAATCCATTTGAGTAGTTCAGTTAAGGACTATTAAAGCTGAAAAATCAACATTAGAGAAGAAAAAGTAAGATTGCCTATTTTCCTCTGTCAATCTACAGCTAAACCCAAGTGTGAGAGGATAAGATCTGCTTTCTTGAAGATTGTGAAAGCCATGGCTACCAGAAGCTTCCAATTTAATTCTCCTTCTACAGGCCATTATTTCAGTTATTTCATAAAATATTTTAAAATGCAAAGATACTTTTGAAAAGCATCAAGCATATTTAAGGTAGTTTTAATGAACAATTTTAAATGACCTCAAATTTTAATTGAATGTCAGTTTTCATATAAAGAGAACTTGATGCAAGTCGTAACTAAAAATGTCAAGTACTATTCACCATTATGTAACAACAGAGGGGAGATATTAATTTTTTAATAAAATATTTTAAACCGGAACCAGATGTATTTAATGTGTATAGATATGATGTTAACTCGATAGAGATGTTAATTCAGTTGAAAAATGAAAATAGCCAAATCTGCTAATACTGCTCAGCTGATTTCTGTTTACATGTTCACCAAAAAAAGAAAATCCATTTCTCTTATAAAAGACAACTAAAATTTAAGAAGTGAAAATAAGATCTAAATTACCAATATGAAATATTTCTGTTTGTTCTTTTAAAGTATAGTTGAAATTAAGGATTTGTATCTAGCCACCCTTGCCTCACCTGGAACATTTGATCAACAATTTTAATATTAAAGACAAAAATAAATAAGAACAATGCTTAGCACATTTGCTCCTTTCTTTTTTTTTTCTTTTTTTTTTTAAGTAGGAATTTATTGCTCATATTTCCCATGGGGAAACCACACAACCTCAAGATTTCCAAAAAAAGGTGCCTGTAATTACTTTTCTAAGCTTGTATTCATGCATCTGAATAAGTGAATTGATTGTGTATGTGTTCTGCAGCTTCTAATAAGTCCTAACCATTAGGCCGATCAAAAATTTCTCAAGCACATTTATATTGTTGCAAAACCGCTGACATGTCAAAATGCAAACTTTCGAGATAAATACATATGTTTTACCAGCAATGGAAGCTGTGGGGGAAGGTTTTCTGGTCCAGTTTGGGGTTCCCAGCCTCTGCCCAGAGTCAGGAACTTCTCGGGTGCAGCCGAGGGGTTCCCCTGCCCCAGGCAGAGCCTGTGTGTGAATTTGGCTCTGCTCGGTTGTACAGAACCGATGTGTGTGGGGCTCGATGTCTCTTATTTCCTCCAGAATATTTCCCAGCGTTGTCTGTTTCATCCTGACCTGGAGGAAATGTGCAAGGTACAGTTTTGCTGTCCAGAATGGGTATTTTCCAGCTCGGGATTTTCAGCCTGCTGTTTGATCAGCAGTAAGTCACCATGTGTACCAAACCCAGATGTAACTCCACTAATTGTTGCTCGATATCCAGCACGCTTTCTTGCCTAGCAGGCGATACCGGAACACGCGAGCAGGAATTCAATTTATTCTTGTAAGGATTTGAAATTTTTTTCATTTGAGAATCGCTCTGCAGTTGTGCAGTAAAGCCCTTTACATGTAATTTGCCTCTCCTCGATGCATGCATTTAACTCTCCTGCTCTCTACTCATAATATCATAGGAGTGTAATATTATATATTTATGATTCTACCATGGCCTGATTTCGAAGCAGAGGGAAGCTGTGCGTGCTCGGTGCCTCTGAGAAATACATCAGGCTCTGTCAGGGAAGAGACCTTCCCTCGGCCACCCCCTGTGCCCCGCCAGGACCGCACCTCCGGAGCCTCCCCCGGCGCCCTTCTCGCCCCCACCACCTGCGCTGCCCAAAGGCCGGCCAGCAGCTCCCTTATGGCCGGGGAGCTGCCCGGAGAATCCCCCCGAAGCCAAACTTCGCCCTGACCTCTGCGGGAAGGAGGGGGACGACCGGCACCCCCCGTCCCTCCCCGAAAGGCCGGCGCGGAGTTCCTGCCTCGCAGCGCGCACACACACGCTCCCCAAGGATGCTGCCTCGGCTGTGCCCCGGGCCGAGCAGCCCCTCGGCGGGGCCGGGGGACTCAGCCTCCCCTCCCGCCGGAGGCGGCCCCGCACCGCCCCCGCTGCCCCGCGCCCACGCCGGGAGGGGACAGCCCGCGCTCCGCCGCCGCGCCGGGGCACCGAGAGCCGGGGCACCGAGAGCCGGGGCACCGAGAGCCGAGGCACCGAGCGCCGAGCACCGGGGCACGGAGCGCCGGGGCACGGAGCACCGGGGCTCTGAGCAGCGGGGCCATGCAGCGCCGCGGCCCCGGCGCATCACCGCTCCGGCCGGGCGGCGAGGAGGCAGGGCCGGCAGTGGGGGATTCCTGGCCCCCCAAAGGAGGTGGGGGAGGCGGGGGAGGGGAGGCGGGGAGGGGAGGCTGAGCTCCCGGAGAAGGAGACGATCGCTCGCACAAAATCCTGCGTCCTCAAAGCAGCCCCGGCGGGCAGGGTACGTATTTGG